TTCAGTTCAAAGTGTCTTCATGAAATCATTCGAATGACATGCATCAAGATTTTTCAAATATTGATTGATATATTGAGGTGAAATTCCCTTTAAACTATTTTACCAACTACAACATCCTCTAAGATTGTATGAGATTTTATATTCTAATTTCATGAGATCTTATATTCGAAATAAAAAAGTTTCATATTCTTTTATATAATGCGCTACAATGCTTCTATTTTAGAGATGTTAAAAACATAAAATAAACCAAGTCTCATACGATCGAGTTGTCAACTGGCTGAAGATATTAATATTCCGTCGATGATAGATCCATGTCTCCAATCCCTGGCGAAAAAAAATGTTAATAAATAAGGAAGAGATATTTAATGTCTCCTACAATTTATACGACTCGTCTTCACAAGCTACAGAGTATCTTTGGATTAGATTATTTAGTAGATTATATTTTTAAAGTTTTATCACTTTTCTTTTCTTTAAACAAAAAAAGACTATTGTCCCTTGATTTGTTGAAGTTGGCTTAGAAATTTAAACTACGAATGTGGATCGGATATTTTTGAAGCCTAATTAAGCTGCCTTCCTATCTAGTTATAGGTTGTCTGTTCGCCACGTGATTTTCCTTATTCCACACACTACAAGAACATTTCTTGTTGTGACACAAAAATGTTTAAAATGAGTACTTACTAGAGTTAACCATTTTTAAAAGTGAAAGATAACAAGAAAAAAAAATACATTATGTAACATTGTAAATTTTTGTTAATTATATAATTTGTAGTAATAATTATGTGTTGAATCGTTTTGAAGCATGATTGTGAGATTTTTAGAGTTAAGAATTTTTTAAAGAGTTTTAGAATAGAGGTTTAGTTATAAGGGAAAAAATATATAATTTTTGTTAATTATATAATTTGTAGTAATAATTATGTGTTGAATCGTTTTGAAGCATGATTGTGAGATTTTTAGAGTTAAGAATTTTTTAAAGAGTTTTAGAATAGAGGTTTAGTTATAAGGGAAGAAATATATAAGATTTTTGTTAAGGATTGAGTCTCGTAAATTCAATTCTGCATAATTTTAGAGAAATACTAGAAAGAAGTTATAAAGCGCTTCTTCTTCTTCTTCTTCTTCTTCTTCTTCTTCTTCGTACTTCTTCTTTCTTCTCCCTTTTCGATTGATGAGGTAAGGGAAGCTAGGATATGGTGGGTTTTGGGGGGTTGTGACGCATCTTCTTCTTCTTCTTCGTACTTCTTCTTTCTTCTCCCTTTTCGATTGATGAGGTAAGGGAAGCTAGGATATGGTGGGTTTTGGGGGGTTGTGACGCATCTTCTTCTTCTTCTTCGTACTTCTTCTTTCTTCTCCCTTTTCGATTGATGAGGTAAGGGAAGCTAGGATATGGTGGGTTTTGGGGGGTTGTGACGCATCTTCTTCTTCTTCTTCGTACTTCTTCTTTCTTCTCCCTTTTCGATTGATGAGGTAAGGGAAGCTAGGATATGGTGGGTTTTGGGGGGTTGTGACGCATCTTCTTCTTCTTCTTCGTACTTCTTCTTTCTTCTCCCTTTTCGATTGATGAGGTAAGGGAAGCTAGGATATGGTGGGTTTTGGGGGGTTGTGACGCATCTTCTTCTTCTTCTTCGTACTTCTTCTTTCTTCTCCCTTTTCGATTGATGAGGTAAGGGAAGCTAGGATATGGTGGGTTTTGGGGGGTTGTGACGCATCTTCTTCTTCTTCTTCGTACTTCTTCTTTCTTCTCCCTTTTCGATTGATGAGGTAAGGGAAGCTAGGATATGGTGGGTTTTGGGGGGTTGTGACGCATCTTCTTCTTCTTCTTCGTACTTCTTCTTTCTTCTCCCTTTTCGATTGATGAGGTAAGGGAAGCTAGGATATGGTGGGTTTTGGGGGGTTGTGACGCATCTTCTTCTTCTTCTTCGTACTTCTTCTTTCTTCTCCCTTTTCGATTGATGAGGTAAGGGAAGCTAGGATATGGTGGGTTTTGGGGGGTTGTGACGCATCTTCTTCTTCTTCTTCGTACTTCTTCTTTCTTCTCCCTTTTCGATTGATGAGGTAAGGGAAGCTAGGATATGGTGGGTTTTGGGGGGTTGTGAAGCATCTTCTTCTTCTTCTTCTTCTTCGAAGTTCTTCTTTCTTCTCCCTTTTAGATTGATGAGGTAAGGGAAGCTAGGATATGGTGGGTTTTGGGGGGTTGTGAAGCATGTTTGAGGTGAAATTTGATGTGTTGATCAAATTATATCATGTCAATGTCGTCGTAAGCCCCACACCCAAGCTATGTTATACCTGACGGTAGTATTAAACTTTTCTAGTTTAAGTAGCAACATTCGAGAAAGCACGTGTAGGGACTAGTATTCCAATATTTAGTTGTTGATATAATAGGCATGTAAGATGTGAAAATGACCTGTTTAGTTCAATAGGGCCAAGTTACTTAGACTGTAGGTGTTGTACGAGATTTTTGTAAGTGAATGCGTGATGACGTATTAGTTGTGGTGTATATCATATGATGTGATGTGGTGTGTTTGTTGTTCATATGCTTTGGTAATTATATTGTTGAAATGATATGGTTATGGTGTAAGTTTGAATTGCTAGAATTGTTTGTCTTTCAAGCTTGTTGATGTCATGTTAAGTGCTCTATGATGTGAACCATGAGATGCATGTTGGGTGGTTTACATTTTAATGTTGGTAGTATAGTATATTTCATTTATACTTATTTTATGTTAATTCTTTAAATATCTAGCTTACCCTTATAGTGATTAGACTGTGATGATCATGCTTACATGAGAGTACAACAGGATTAGCTAAAGGTAAGTAGGAGTTTTAGTGCATGTTGCCATTGTAACTCTTGACTACTTTTGTTTATTTTATTATAACTGCTTGACTGATACCTAAAATCATATAATATATATATATATATATATATATATATGAAGTTA